CCGACCTGCGCCATGTCATACAACCTGCTGAGGAAGATTCCCAGTCATCCAGGTCATCGTTCCAATAAAAGTTAAAAAACAAACGACTGGACTTTGTTTAAAAGTTTAAAGACGTTTCGCTTCTCATCCAGGAAGATTTTTAAATTCAAAATGTCAGAAATGGTTAAAACCAAATCAAGGCTACTGTATAAAACCTGGAACTAAACGCTATTTCTGACATTTTGAATAGAAAAAGCTTCCTGGATGGAAGAGAAACAAATTCCAGCTCATTGTTTTTTTACTTTTTTTGGAATCTCATACAACGTTTCAGAACGACAAACATTGTAAAACATTTTTATAAAACTCTTTGTGCGTTTAGTCCTTTTTTTAAGACACCCACCATCAGAAGTGTGGCTGTTTCTTTCTGTACCTTCTACTCTTCCATATTGTTTGTCGGCCATCTTGGACACTGAGGTCAGGTGTCTCTGGGACTGTAGAAACTAAATTTCAACCTCAGGGGAAAAAGCTGAACTGATTCTTCCACCTTACGCTGGTTTGACGTCGCCAATCTAACTGGGCTTCCTGTCTTTACTTCCTATTGGACGGCGTGGATGTGGATGTCAGAAAATGAGATGATTGGTGGAAATCAATCAATCAGGGGAACTGATGGATTTAATGTAAAGCAGCAGCAGCAGCAGGGCTGTGGGGCCAGTATGAAACCTGCGGAGCCTCACTAACAGCAATACTGGCTGAAGGAAGAAGCATCACTTCCAGACGTTTGATTGGGTCATTGTTGATGGGACTGTATTTCCTGTTTTTACTCCTCTGTATTTTATTGTGTGTGAATTCAGTTTATTTGTACTTCTGTCATGGTGCTATGGAACCTGTCCTCTGTTTTCTGAGGACACAGGTCGAACAGCTGCAGTATGTAAACAAACAGTGGACTTGAATTTAAACTACATGCTTTTTGATTTGATCTATAATAAAAAAAATATCTAGCAAATAAAAACTGTTTTCCACTGAATGTTCTTTCTGTAAAACTAGCCATGTGTCTTTATCTTTTCACATTAAAGCCACAAACATCCATTTAGTTCATCAATAAACCATCTTCACACTCAGTGGAAACCAGCTGACCTTGTTGTTGAGTTTGATCCTCCATCCAGATGTTCTCTGGAGGCCAAAGTCCGGTCAGCAAGAAATAATCAAT